TGTGCCACTCTCCTTTTTTTTTTTTTTTTGCGCAGGATTTTTGGACCCCTGGATATCCAGGGAAAACCCAACATGATGCTTCTTTGTAGTGTGGAGAACAACCGAGTATACGCTATGTTTGGAGTATGCAGTATATCTGGCACAACCATGTTCATTTGGATGTGAACTATATGTGACCTTACTTGCATACAGATACAAATAAAAAATGCTTCCTGCTATCATTGTTGTGCTGCTGAGACAGACCAGGCCCAGCTTTCTTGAAATGTCCTCAATGTCTATCTTTTTTTAAAACCAAAACACATAGCATTTCCTTGGCTGGTGGCACATCCAAAGTGAGTGCAGCCAATTCTAAAAAACTCTCTGAAGTATCTGTAAGTGGGGCAAGGAGATATTTAATAACCTCTGTTTTTCAAAGACTCCCTTTCCAGCCATGAGAAAGCAGTAAGGCTCAAGCCTAATTTAATGCAAGTCAAAAGAGACCATTGTGATAATTTAACCTCTGGAATAACACAAGCCAGAGGATTTCCCTGAACCATTTCTTGCCTGACAAGAGCATCCCTTGAAGGAGAGATTATAAGGGATAGAAAATCTATTTCAAATTGTTCCAGTAGTTAAGTAGACCCAGTGTTAAATATGTACACCTAGGTTAGATAAATTCAAATTTCTAGCTAATAGAAGTTTTTATTACTTTGCCTGCTACCCTAAAAAAAGCTCTACTATTTAGTGTTTTTGCCATGTACACACTTCTGGACTGGTTAAGTCACCTTTTAAAGTTCTGTTTAAGTCTGACCTTTACTAACTGACACCTGCATACCCAAGGAGCTGCTACGGCTGGACCTCAATTTCCCCTTGTTCACCACTACTTAAAAGTTTCCAGTCCTCACCTGGTTATTACTCAAATAAGGTCTGTCTTTCCAAGCCTTAATAACCCCACTACTGGTGGACAATAGAGAAACCTAAAGCCACACCTACTCTTCCGGCTTGAAGCCCAGGGCCCCCATATGCAACAACAGATCACAGTTTTTCATCATTGTTTTTTCAGGTAACATCTTACTTTACATCTCCCAAAAATACTCTCACTCAGTCCTTATGCCTCTTTTCCTGCAGTCACATGGTCAGCATCCCTAAACCCTATAGTCCTAGACCATGCTTCAGTGTGACCAGGAGATGCAGGACATGCTGGCATGTGGTCCTTGGGCCACATACTGTGTGAGCCACATGCTGTGGGAGCAGCCCCAACCACATGGACAGCACCAGCAAGGCGCGGCACCCCCATCCCCCACCCCCATCCC